ATATGGAAAACTCTAGTTTGTCACATAATTTTTGAATGAAATGATTCTCATCCCTTCTAGAGTATTGATGATCATTTTCTATGATTGGTCCAAATAAAGGGACAATTCTTGTAATGAACTTGTGAAATATTTAGTATTTAATAGAATACTAAATAAAGCATGTGTCCTACATTATGGAAAGCTAAGGAAATGTATTATAAGAATTAATATCAACCTTTCATGGGTTTAGGGGTTGATATTAATTCTTAAGTCTAGTTTGTCACATAATTTTTGAATGAAAGGATTCTCATCCCTTCTAGAGTATTGATGATCATTTTCTTTGATTGGTCCAAATAAAGGGACAATTCTTGTAATGAACTTGTGAAATCTTTAGTATTTAATAGAATATTAAATAAAGCATGTGTCCTACATTATGGAAAGCTAAGGAAATGTATTATAAGAATTAATATCAACCTTTCATGGGTTTAGGGGTTGAGTGAGGTTTTATGGTCCACAAAACCAATTGCTACAACGATAATAAAAGTGAATAAGAAGTATATTATGAAGTATCATTAGTTAATATGTGAGATACGATTAAGTCACCAAGAATGCTAGTTCTGAAATGTCCCAAATTTCATAATAATAATTTTTTCATTTTTAAATTAGAATAAATACTCATTTTCATAAGGTTATAATCAAGACAAAACCATTTGTTCATAACTCATAATCTAAAAATCAGCGTTATAAAGAACATAAGTCTATTAATATGTGTGTGTGCGGTCACGCCTTCTCCTTCCCACGATCTGAAGAAATGCCAGAAAACATTATTCCACAATTTTAAGCACAAAACTTAGTGAGTTCCTCGAAACACCACATCCTATAGCGGGCCTCGCCTAATAAACATATAGACAGGCCTCACCTAATAACATATAAACGGTCCTCGCCCAATAAACATATAAACGTGCCTCGCCCACAAGTCTCACCCAATAAACAGATAAACGGGTCTCGTCCAATAAACATATAAACAGACCTCACCCATGGATCTCACCCAATAAACATATAAACATACATCACCCAATAAACATAGAACTCGCCCACGGGTCTCACCCACTAAACATATAAACAGACCTTGCCCATGAGCCTCACCCAATACATATAAATGGTCATTGCCCAACAAACATACAAACAACCATGTAAGAGTCACAAAGACAACTAACACCTAACGTTCTGCATAGTATAGTGAGAAGACTCACCTGAAGAAGTTAACACATAATAAAACCACATGAGTGGATAAGATTGGTTTCCATCTCTTAGGGCACCTACAATAACATCAATAACCCTTACTTAACGCATATATCATATAAGCTTTGAAAAAAAACAGATGTTTTTAAGATCATGATCTTACCTAAATCAATTTATGTTTTTTCATGATCAGATTGAGATCAAAAGATTTTATTTACTGAAATAGTCTTCAAATTTCTTTACAATGTCTTATTTGTGTAATACTCATTATAACTTAGTATTGATTAGGATATCCATCATTGAACTAACTTTAACTTTTTAATCATTAACTATAATTCTTGTTGCTACAAATCGTAATATTAAAAAGAAAACACAAGAAGCAGAAAAAGTAACAAGATAATTATAATCATATACAACTAAAAACAAAAGATTATAAAAAGAAAAAAAATTATATAAATGGTCGTCGTGGTTGACAATATCGACCAACTCTAGTCCTTATAACGAATTTTTTTACATAGATGGTCATTGTGGTTTCAAAATCTTGTAAAGATGACTATTTTGGCTAACGATATTAACTTTTTTAGTTAAGTCCTATGTAAAATGACATATTTGCCCTTCCTGTAATAAGTATCATTTATGTAATTTGTGTAATACTCATTATAACTTGATATTGATTAAGGTGTCGATAACTGAACTAATATTATCTTTTTAACCATTAACTATAATTATTGTTGCTACAAACTACAAATATTATAATGAAAATATCAGAAGAAGCAGAAGAAGAAACAAGATAATTATAATCATATACAACTATAAAAAAAATATCAAAAGAAGATAAAATTACATAAATAGGCCTCATGGTTGACAAAAACGTCCAACTATAATCCTTATGACGAATTTATTATATAGATGGTCTGTATGGTTTCAAAATCTTCCAAAGACGGTTCTTTTAGCTAACGTTGTTAACTTTTTCAGTAAAGTCATATATATATATATATATATATATATATATATATATATATATATATATATATATATATTCGCTAACATTTTTCAATGTTTTTGTTCCAATAACTTTTTCTATTTTTTTTTGACGTTTTCTTCGTATACATTTATTAAATTTTTTGACGTTTTGTTCGCATATATATTATATATATATATAATATATATATATATATATATATATATATATATATATATATTGACGTTTTGGTCAAATACAATTTTTTACGTTTTTTTAGTTTGTTTATTTTTGTTAAAGATTTCATGGCTTCTGTATTCATAATTTAGTTCACTTTCAATCATGGCTTTTTTTTAAATAATAAAGATAAGGTTATATAATTGTTCTTTTATAAATCAAATATTTAACTTTATAACGCATATAAGGTTGTATAATTATTATTTTTGTAAAGTTTTTTATAAATACTTTTTCAAAAAAAAGTGTAAAAATCTTTGTTAAACATGAATATGATTAAGTACATATAGACTAAGTTGAGACCACGTCATAGCCTTGTCGAGAGTGACCGTGTCATTTAACATTGAGCTTAGTTGTAATTTTTTGAGTTAATTTTTGTTTTTAGACATAACATTCGTTTTTGAGTTATACAAATTCCGATTAGCTTATGTATAAATTGACACCCATTTCGAATTCTGATTAGCCTATCTATATTAATCATATTCATGTTTAACAAAAAAATTTATATTTTTTTTTTACAAAAAGTATTTATAAAAAACTTTACAAAAATAATAATTATACGACCTTATATGTGCTATATAGTTAAATATATGAATTAAAAAAATAATAATCATGCAACTTTATCCATATTAAAATAACAAAAAAAAAGAAGAGAAAAAACATGATTGTAAGTGAATTAAGTTATGAATTATTATTATAGTGACCATGAAATCTTTTACAAATATAAACAAACAAAACGTAAAAAAAAAAGAACATAAAAAATTATATTCGAACAAAACCTCAAAAAAAATTACAAAAAATTATTTGAACTAAACGTTAAAAAAATTAATAAATGTATTCGAACAAAATGTCAAAAAATATAAGCAAAAAATATATAAAAATTTATATTAAACAATATATTCAAACAAAACATCAAAAAAATCTAAATTATAAAATATATAAATAATAATAATAAACAAAATTACATAAATGGTCTCTATGGCAAGAATGACAAATGTGACATTTTATATGAGACTTAACTGAAAAAGTTAACACTATTAGACAAAAAAACCGTCTTTGTACGATTTTAAAACCACATGGACCATATATGCAAAAATTTGTCATAAGGACACCCTTTGATGCCTTCATCGATTCACACCGATCTTATTATGGTGTTCTATTTTTTGCATCTGAAACCACAAAACAAAAAATGTTTGAAATCTAATCGATGATGAGTCCTAGAAATTAACTGTGGTCTCGAAGACGAATATTGGAGTTTAAGAAATAAAGAAGATCGATGACAGGAAATCGATGTTTGAAACCCAAAATACAGTCCAGAGACCGACAAGATGAGTGACAAACCAAATCGATTTTGTTCCATGTGAGAGAAGGGGGAATTCAGTCGGTTCGAACTGAATAAAGGGGAAAAAGTGGTCTTCGTTGACACCAGTTCTTCACATGACCGTCATGTTCATTCACATCGTCGTTGTACTCTGTAAGATGATGTTTGCAACCAATGCTAGTTTGATGTCATTGACCATCCCTGCTTTTATATCCGTCAATTTCCAAATAAACACCCAATTAATCTTCAGAAACCCTAGAACCCATATTCACCGTTGCCATAGTTTTTTTCCCACGAACAAGAACAAAAAACGGAGGTGAAGAAACCCTAGTTCCTGTCCCCGGCTGCCATGGTTGTGCTTTCTATAATTTCCGACATACAAGAACGAGAAACTGAGGTGTGAAAACCCTAGATACATTACCACGTTGTGCGTTTTACAGTTTATGTTTGCCAAAGAAACACCGACTTTCGACCTATGTTTCTTTTATATAATATTGCATCTGATTGGTGTTGGTGGTTCGCTAGAGAATATCAAAGTGGTGGTGTTGCTGGTTCGTCTGAGAAGGATATGAAAGTGAGTGAGGTGGAGGGTGGGGTTTGATGGCAGGTGATGAGGAAGTGGACCCACATATCTAATAAGCAATGCCTTTTTAATTAATACTTTTTTTTTATATTTATTTAATATATATATTTTAAATAACAGATAATTTAAAAAAGGATAAAAGAAATCAGTAAGGGTAAATTAGTCTCTTTAGATCGGATATGTACCAAGCATGCAACAAAAATATAAATTAGAGACGATTCGAGTTAAAAAAAATTGTAAGGGACCAATCACGCAGATTATCCTAAAATCACAGGGACCATCCATATAATTTATCCATTTTAATTTTGTCTAAAAAGAATAGTATGAGTTACCATATTTTTTTTTATCTAATTCTAGATGAATGTATAAAATAATGATATTCAATCATACATTTTGCTTCTTGCAACATATGATACTCGATTTCAAAATGTTAAAGCGAAATTTTGAGACTCACATGTATGATATAGAATTATAGAGTAAAATGATAACATTGGATCAGGTTAGGATCATAATATCGTAATCGTTAGTCGGGATTCTAAGATTATGATATAAATGTTGATTCAGATATATCGTAGTATAATCGGAATATTTTATGCATAGAAAATGTTATAAAAAATCCTAAGATTTTAAGAGGATGGATCTAATATGAAAACAAAAGAAAATATATATAATTATTGGAACTCGATTGAATGCACCCACCTTAGTTGATGACGAAAACAAGACACGAGTCAAAGTGACACCTATCCATTCTTTCTTCGTGTCAGCCGACTTTTCTCTCTCACCGGATCTGTCCAAACTACATGACGAACGCAGTGACACCATCGTCCCTCACCGTCGATGGGCCCAACCACCTACGCGTCACCTCCTCATTCGCACAATCCACCCCTCGCACTTTTTGTTGTTTTACAGTTTGCACAGAAAGCGAGAGAAAATTCAGGGCTGCGGTCAATACTCAGTTTCTCAATACCCCAGGAACAACCTCGAATCAAAGCCTTCTTATCCAAGCAACTCATTCTCTCTCATGCTCGTTCCACGAAGCCACGTTTTCAACTTGTTCCAGATTCAATCCTCCACGTGCTCCCCTCCGTGTTTATATATATCTCTCTCGGTTGTTAATCATATAGCTGCTGAAGAAGAAGAACGAGAACCAGAACCAGAAGCAGGAGATTTGAAGAAAAAAGGAAGACCAATTGAGGTTTAGAAGAAGTGATTACTGTTTACTGATTAATCATTCTGTGAAAGATCTCTTGTGAGAATGACTTGCGATAATTTGGAGTTGCCGCCGGGGTTCAGATTCCATCCGACGGACGACGAACTGGTTATGCATTACCTATGTCGAAAATGCGCATCTCAACCGATTTATGTTCCGATTATAGCAGAGATTGATCTGTATAAGTTCGATCCATGGCAGCTTCCTGGTAACTTAATTTAACTTCTCCTTGTCCTTCACTCCTCTTTCGATCATGGATGTTTGTTTTCGCGATTTGGATCTGATGGAGGATTCGTTTTTGTTTATGGATTGATTTCGACAGATATGGCTTTGTATGGAGAAAAGGAGTGGTACTTCTTCTCACCTAGAGACAGGAAATATCCCAACGGATCACGTCCCAATAGAGCCGCCGGAACTGGTTATTGGAAAGCCACCGGAGCCGATAAGCCAATCGGAAAACCAAAGCCGGTTGGGATCAAGAAAGCGTTGGTGTTCTACGCCGGAAAAGCTCCCAGAGGTGTGAAAACCAATTGGATAATGCACGAATATCGTCTCGCCAACGTCGATCGCTCCGCCGGAAAACGAAACAACAATCTCAGGGTATGAATTATTATCATCTCCAGAAACTCCAAAAAAATTAGTATCTTTTCTCGAAAAAGTTAACTTATCAAATTCTGATCCTCTTTTTGTATTTTGCAGTTAGATGATTGGGTACTTTGTCGAATCTACAACAAGAAAGGTACTCTCGAAAAGCACTATGTGAACGATAATCAATTTTCCGACATGGAAGTGGAAACGAAACCCAAAATTACACCGTATACCCCTACTCCACCACCGCTACAACCACCGTCGACAACCGTACCCCATCACGTCACGAACGACGTATTTCACTTTGACACATCCGAATCGGTTCCCACTTTACATACGGATTCAAGCCCTGAACACGAAAGGGAGGTAGAAAGTGACCCAAAAAGAAGAAATGATTTCCAATTCAATTACATAGACCCGTTTCAAGATGACGCTTTTACCCCTACACCATCGCAATATTACAATGACTATCAACTCTCTCCTTTACAAGACATGTTCATGTACACACCCAAGCCCTTCCAGATGTGAGAAGATTTCATGAGTTCACCATGTGCACTTGATGACAGTATTTTGTACTGTTGTTTAAGCGTAAAGTACATATCGAGAAATTTGGGCCAAAGTTGAAGATTCTATGTATGTATGTATATCAAGTAGAAATGGCCCATTCTTGAATTGGGATAAGACAAGTTGAAGGGTATAATGGGTACAATTTTGTGTGGGCAAATGGGGCAAGTTGTTGGAAGCACAAATGGTTGATTTGGGGGGACACCTAATGGGTAGAGTAGTAGTAGAATGGGCAAATTGCCATAGATGCAAGAATTCTTGGTCGTGGCATAGTTTTGCCCAAATGTAGAACACATTCATTTCCTTTTTAGACTTGTAATTTGATGAAAAAGGGAATGAAATATAAATGTTAAATGTGTTGGTTTTTACATCTTTAGGTTTAATATTCTATTGTATGCATATATATGGTGTAAATGTTTGAAGCATATTTTCAGAAGAATTTTGTGAATTGTAGTTTTGTTTTTGGAAACGGTAAATGATTCAACGGAAGTCTACACATAATATTTCAACGTACACCTTGAGATCGAGCTTCAGAAAGCGGGCAAACCCAGCCCCCATAGAGATTTTCAAGGAGAAATTCCCCACATGCAGCACTGAAAGATGTATCCCCCAAGGTTTGAAACCAGGACCTCGACCACACATGGGTATAAAACCCACTCATTAATCCAGGTAGGCTGGACATCCGTGAATTGTTGTTTTTATTGTCACTAACATGTGTGACAACTAGAAATAGAGCACGATATAACTAGTCCAAAAAAAATGAATTAGAGTCGATATTTTGAACTAGTAGTTGAACAATAATGTGATAAGTAGAAATAAAGCACGATATAACTAGTCCAACAAATGAATTAGAGTCGATATATTGAACTAGTAGTTTGAACAATAGTTATCATATAATAACAAATACTTGTGTAGTTTGGTGGTGTTCTCGTCTTTGTGTAAGCTTGAATATGAAAACTTGTTATAATTTGTTAATTTTAATAGTTTATTTTTAATTTTGTGTTTGTTTGGATTATTCAAAATGTGATTGTTACTCTATCACCGCCGGACCACAAATCACGTCCATTTTGTGGACCACTAAGTTCGATATCCCGAACCTATAAATTTTAATAGCATCTTCGATAAGATTATTATTATTATTATTAATTATTATAAAATCTCAACATCATTGAAATGGACAAAAAAAACCCTTGTTGACTACTTTATATATATATATATATAGATATATATATATATATATATATTATATATATATATATATATATATACACACACACACACTAGCCGTTTACCCGCGCCAAGCGTCGGGTGCGAATTTTATTTTTTATTTTTTTCAGAAATTAGTTTCCAGAGACGATTAATTTCCTTTTGGTGGTGTTTGGGGTTTATGTTGTTTTATGGTCTCCGTATTAAGGATTTATCGTTTTCCAGGAGGAGCTTAGTTCCTTGTGAACCGGAAAGTGGTAAGTCATTTTTTGATCAAAAGCCACCTAACCGAATAACATGTTTCCGTCGGTTCCTTCAAAGTAAGCATGATTGAAAGATTTTCTTTTTAAGCTTAAATAATGAATATCACATTTATTACTCCAAAATTCAAAGTAATAAGCAACAAAAGACATCATGAAATTAGTTACAAAGATAACTCATACCTCATGTTTAAGAAAAAAACCTTTTTGAATTTTTTTTATCCAATTTTCCTTGATTTTGACCGACATACCCTTATCAATCCAATTCCAAAACCTTTTCAACCTCATTTAACCTTTCAAAAAATTGATTTTTAACATCCGTAAAGAAACTCCAACAATTCAACATACTCTTAAATTCATACAACCGAAATTCTTGTATTTCCAATAATGACCAAACTATCCTTTACAAATTAAAAACTACCGGAACAATCTTAACAAAAAATATTTTATCAAGTCATATCTCAAATTAAGAAAAATCCTAACAAACTTCCAAGATGTGATCCGCTTTCCTTTCCTATTTGGTGTATTCTTTCTATCCAGAGTTAGTTTTGTCCCCAATCTACAAAAAAAAAAAAAAAAAAAAAAAAAAAAAAAAAAAAAAAAAAAAAAAAAAATTCATTCATTGGTCTTTTTTTTTAATTCCTATACCAATGGAACGAACCATTCCTTCTCAACCCTGAATCGATCATACACAAAACATTAGCTAAAGATTGATTAATAAATTAAGGTTATAAGGAAGTAAACACCACCTTACAACTATGAAATTATAGATCTTGGGTGCACACCCTAAGCCGAATCTACCTGATATCAAATATGGGAATCAAAAACAAAAGATTGTTAGTTGGCTAATAAACAAATGTTTGAAAGTATGTTGTTATTATAGTTAGAAAACAAAAAAATGCAATTGAAAGAATACTAAAAGAAAAACAAATCAATAATCTAAAAGAAATTACTAAATTGAGAAATTTCCACTGAGACCATAACAGATCACATTTGATTCTATTCAGATAATTTTCCAATTGTTGTTTGGTAGTAAAATATTTGAGGATTAACCATGAGCAAAACCATAGGACAGAAGAGACATTTTATAGAAAGCCTAGACATATGAATATGACATTAAATAAAAAATAGTCATGGAAAATAGTAACACCTGCTGTTTTCCCCTCATCTCCGTCAACTTCAAAATTTCACCAGTTCTAACCCATCACCTGCTTCTGCAATTCATTAAAGATTAATTAAAACCCATATTTTCCTACATTATAAATAAACCACATCAGAACATTTTTCTTTCACTAATAAACTAAACATCACAACAATATATTTGTAAACTTGACTGATAGAAGAATATAAACAAATTGCAAGATGCAACTTGACTAATAGGAATTTTTAATCATCATCAAAATGCAACTTGATCGCATCATGCTTTAAATCTTCAACATTTTAACAATTAGTGTCACTCTCTTTCAATTTGAAGGTATATTAGACCCATTAAGTCTTTGTTGAGGTTGCTAGTGAGATTGTTGAAATGTAGGCCAAGCAGCTACCAAAAGTTGTTTCCACCTTCATACACTGTTTCGTTTTGATTAATAGAATGAACTGCAAATTATATTAATCGTAAAATAAAATCAAATAACAACATATAAAACAAAACTATTGACATTTTTAATGAGAAAATATTACCTTCTCAACATCAACCCTACATCAGAATCAGAAAGCACATGTAAATCAAAATCAAGAATTGGGAAAAAAATCGAAATAAAATCTAAATGAGTGGGAAGGGGATTTCTACATATGAGAAGGTAGAAACCCAAAACAATAGGAAATCAAAACCAGAAAATGAATTAAAGATTCCTATTGTTTCAAAGTGTTCGTCTTCATCTTCAAGACCTTGAAGACGACGACTTTCCCACAGGGGCCCAAAATTACAAAAACCGAAGAGGATGTCAAAATCAAGACCTTGTAACAATAAACATTGGGAATAAAAAAGTGATTTATGTGAAAAAGGATATTAGGGCTTGAAAATCAAACAATAAATCGAAAAGAACAGGTGAAGAAGAGAGAAACAGAGCATTAATGTGATACCTTGGAGCAAGAGTCTAGCGATCTGAAAGTGAACCAATCAATGAAGGTATTGCAGGTTATAAAGGGTCGACATGTGTGATGACAGCAAGATTGAGTGGTGGTGGCCGGGATATGGCACCAAAAAGGAGTTTGTCGATAGCCTGCAAAAAAACACTCATTTTTTACTCGTTAACCTGCAACAAAAAAAAAAAATCATAAGTCGTGAATCTACCTTGCTTTAAAACGCATACCAGACTTGGGTGGTGTTGGTGTGCCTGAGTCGTATGGATTAGGATCACAGGGGTTATTTAACCCTATTAAACAAAATAAAAACCCAAAACAGTAGCATAAGTAGTATTATGAAGTATTTACCTTCAACCATCGTATGGATTAGGATCACAAGGGCGTCGAAGAAAGAGATATCTGACAGACGGATATAACCAGGAACGACGTTGGAGTGGCTGTGTTTGTGTTTATATATGCGACGTGGTGGAGGCAAGTGATCGGAGACAGCAGACGACGGTGGGGGAAGAATTAGGTCGACAATTCGATGAAAGTGGTAAACGGGGGAGGTAATAAATAGTAGTTGACCACTTAGGGTTTCAGTGAAAGAGTAAGGCAGAGAAAGGGAACCGATTTTGGAGAGAGTGTGATAGGGTTCCGAGAAGATTTCAAAAATACAGAATTCAGATTTTGAAATACGATTGAATGGTAGGTGGTGGTCATCGTTAGGTTGGATTTGGGGAGTTTTTGTAAAGGGTCCTTCTGGTAGTGTTCTTCCGAATATGTATCTTGAAACTCAAAGTTGTAGAGGCTTTGACTATGTTGGATGTGAGTAGATGAAGGTGTAAAGATGCAGAGAGCATGAAGCATATCAAATACGAAGATTGAAACTGTGAGGCAGGGGTTAAATGATGGTGGTGACAACGACGAATTTAAGAGTTTTAACTTTTAAAGAGTGAGATGATTCTGATTCAATCGGCTTCCTTCAAGGGATGACCGATTCAACTTTGACCGATTCAGTTGGGGGAATTGAGTTCGTTTAGTTACAGGGGATAAGAGTGAGATATAACAGGAGCTGGTATGTTATTTGAACTTTTCAAGAGTGAGATATAACAGGAGCTGGTATGTTATTTGAACTTTTCAATTATTGACTGGATACGATTTATTATTCTCTAATGCATAAAGTTATTGTATATGATGCTTTAAGGGTTGTACCTCTTAAAATTCAACATTTGAGGCTAAATGCTTATCAAGGTACTAGCCCTCTACCCGCGCTAAGCGACGGGTGCGGATAGTTTTTTCAGAAATTAATTTCAGATGCGATTAGTTCTTTAGCGCAAATAAATAGGTGTTTTACGCGTCGCTAATTCATGATTTATAAATGTTTTTTCCTAATCTGGTAAATGTTATAAAGTTTTTAATGTATTAGTTTCAGAGGCTAAATGTTTTTTTTCCTATTTTTCTACATATACATACATTTATAAATCATGAATTTGATGTTTACAAGTTCAAACATCAAAAATACACATAAAAATAAGTTGTAGATGAATCAAAATACATTAAAATAACACATAACCAAAAGTTTTAGTGTTTACATCAATCCATACATGTCAAAAAGAAAATAAAGTATAATACTGAAACAAAATATAGTTTTAGATAAATACAAATACATTAAAAACTTTATAACATTTATCATATGTTTTTTATTTAAAGAAAACTAAATAGATTTTTAAAAAATCACCAATTATGTAAATGGTTCTTTTTCAGGTGTTTTTATTCGGTTTAACCAGTTTAT